CCAGCGCGCCCTGCGGCGGGGAGGGTGCTCCCAGGGTGCCCCGCGGCGCCGGTACCGGGGGCGCAGCATGGCGGCGCTGGCGCGCTGGGCGCGGGGGCGGCGGGGCTCGTGCTGCTGTGGGCGCGCGACCGGCAGGCCCTGCGCGCCGCCGTCCCCGCGCCGCCCGCCTCGCCCCGCGCCGCCTTCAACTTCATCGCCGACGTGGTGGAGAAGACGGCGCCCGCGCTCGTCTACGTGGAGATCGTGGGCAGGTGCCGGTGCCGCCCTGCAGCGCCCGCGAGCGCCCGGTTCTCCCAGCCCCGCGTGATCCGCGTCCCCCCGCTACAGACACCCGTTCTCGGGCCGCGACGTGCCCATCTCCAACGGCTCCGGCTTCCTGGTGTCGCCGGACGGGCTCATCGTGACCAACGCGCACGTGGTGGCCAACCGGCGGCGCGTGCGCGTGCGCCTGGCCAGCGGCGAGCTCTATGACGCCGTGGTGCACGACGTGGACCAGGTGGCTGACATCGCCACCATCAAGATCAAGGCCAAGGTGCGGTGGGGACGCGCGGTCCGGTGGGTCCGGTCCGTGTCGGCCCGGTCCGACCTGTCCAGGTGCTGACGGCGGCCCCGCAGCACCCGCTGCCCACGCTGCCGCTGGGCCGCTCCTGCGACGTGCGCCAGGGCGAGTTCGTGGTGGCCATGGGCAGCCCCTTCGCGCTGCAGAACACCATCACGTCGGGCATCGTGAGCTCCGCGCAGCGCGGCAGCCGCGAGCTCGGCCTCGCCGCCACCGACATGGACTACATCCAGACGGACGCCGCCATCGACGTAAGGGGGGGCCGGCGGCACCACGCGGCCCGGGAGGGCCGGTGGCAGGAGGAGGAAGGGGCTCTGCCTTGCGCTCCTCTCCTCTGGACCCTGTGCGGGGCTCTGCTCTTTGCGACTCTCGTCCTCACTGTCACCCCTGTCTCCTCTGCAGTTTGGGAACTCCGGGGGCCCCCTCGTCAACTTGGTGAGTTCTGCTGCCCGTAGCCCGGCCAAGCGGCCGGCAGGGAGGCGCGGGCGTCCTGTGGTCCCGGGCGGCGCTGCGCGGGTATGTGGAAAAATCTCGCTGTCCAAGAACTGACTGTCCAAAAGGAGACAGAGGAGACCCAAAACTTGATTCGAACAAAGGGAGAGTCCACCGGGCATATCCCTGTGGGGTCTCTCCGGTTGCCAGGGGACGCAGCCCCCCTTTTATCCTAATCTCCTGGCCGCCGTGCCCTCTCCTTTTCCCCATTGGCCAAGGGACTCGGGAGTCACAGCCTGCCTGGCCGCCTGCACCCAGCGCGGTGCCTCCCCGCACATGTTCGCACCTCAGGTCACTTGACTCCTTTGTGTCCCTCACTGCAGGCTCCCCACAGTCTCTCCCCTCACTCCTGGCTCTGCTCAGTCTCCCGCCTGCCTGGGTTCCTCTGTCCTGCTTATCAGCCAAAAAAAGGAGAGCAATTTCCTCCTTCGCTTATAAAGATACAGACTTACAACCTTGTGGCCTGTGTGTTGTGCTCAAACCCAAACTTCTTGTGTGTGTGTTTTCCACACACGGGAGACAGGGACACTGCGCCCCGTGCTCCCGTGGGGAATGGCCGCGGGACCGCCCGGGGGCTGCGCCCGTCGCTCCAGGGCCCTCTCCCTGCAGGACGGCGAGGTGATCGGCGTGAACACCATGAAGGTGACGTCGGGCATCTCCTTCGCCATCCCCTCCGACCGCCTGCGGAAGTTCCTGCAGAAGGAGGAGCAGCGCAAAAGTGAGCAGGGTCCCTCCCTGCTGGGGTGGCGGGGTAGGAGGCCACAAGGAAGTTAAAGAGGGAAGCACCTCCTCGGAGCCGCTTTTGAAAGAGAGGCAGACAGCGTAGCAGGAGGAAGTCTCGGGAATCAGAAGTGTCTCCTTTCTAGCCCCTTATAACGTCGAGCCCTTTGCTGCTGGTGAAGGCTCTGCTGTTGCTTCCGTGCCCTCAGGAGCCTAAACCCTGCCAGGAGGCTGCTGATCTGCATCTGCCGCAGGCAGGGCTTGGGAATTGTGGCCCTAAGTAACTTAAGCTCAAGTCCCCTGAGGGGATATGATACGTATGTTAACACAGAATCTTCTTATCTATTTGTTTCTTTTTTTGACCCTAAGGAGTGATAATTAGAGTTGGAAAATGACAACACAAACCAGGAAATCAAAATAACCCAGCATGACACAGTACTGATAAAGCTCCAGCTGATCAATGGAACTTAAATGACCCATTGGTAGGGAATTTAGTACATCTCTGCACGTATCTGCTAGGGTGGGAGGGTCTGTGGCCTGGCTGGCTGGCCCAGTGCAGAACCATCTTCTCAGCCTCGTGTTCTCACGTGCTCTCCTTCCGCAGGCTCTTGGTTCGGCAATGCAGAGGCAAAGCGCCGGTACATCGGGGTGATGATGTTGACTCTTACACCAAGGTGAGTCCCGGGACAAGGGCTCCGTGGGCTGCTCCCTCCATGACGGGGTGGCTGTGGGATGGGGTTTCCCAAACCCCCGGCTTTGTGTGTGTAGGCCAGGGTTGTCCTCACAGCAGGAAGAGGCATGTTCTGCAGGATTTCGGTATCCGGTTTGTGTTTAGGGTGGAGGCTGTGCCAGGTGTAAATCAGAAGCTTGCAGCTTTCTGTGGTGTGTCGGCATCTGTGAGGTGATAAAAGTCCCTAAATGCAGCGCTCAAAGTGCCACGTCCGTGCACAGTGTCCGTGGGGAGGAGCGCGGCGGGACACCTGAAACGTGTCCGGGGAGGGAGCTGCAGCAGGAGCCGCAGCCTCCGGCGTGGAGGGAACGTGTTTGGAGATGTTGAGCTGAGTCCAGCCTCAGTGGTGCTGGTGGTTGTGTCTGCCCGGCAGACCCGTCCCTAGGGGCTGTGCTCTGCCCCTGCCGAAGCTCCGGTGCCTTGGCGGGGCTTGCAGGGTGCCTGTGGGCCAAAGCTGCCGCGTTCCCCTCAGGAGGGTGCCGGGTGCTGCCCGATTGTGGCTGTGCCCGGTAGGTGGAGCTGGCACAAAACGGGCCCTGCGGGGACCCAGAGCCCGACCTCCTTGTCCCTGGCCTGGACAAGGGCGCAGGAAGGAGCCTGTCAGGGAAGGAGCGTGAAATGCCGGGGACATGGCCTGGAGAGGGGCCTGGGCCTCGGCCCAGCCAGCAGGGAGCCTGGCAGCTGCTCCTGAGGGGAACGCGGCACCGGGACGCTGAAACGCTGGAAAGCAGCAGATATGGGGCAGGAACCTGGCCCGTGGCTCAATCAGCCTGACCGCTGGGCTGTGTGCCCGCTCCTGGGAAGAGGTGCTGAGAGGGGCTGCCCTGGAGCGCAGCTGTTCCTGCGGCTGGGCCGTCCCTGCCACTTGGCTCTTATCACAGCTTGTCCGATATTGCACCCGGGCCCTTGCTGCGGCTCGGTCATCACTGCAGCTGGGCCCTTGCTGCATTTCAGCCCTTGCTGCAGCTCAACCTGCTCTTGCGAGCGGTCCCCGCGTGCCCCAGCGCTGGAGCGAGCGGGAGGCCTCTCCCTGAGCGGGCTCGAGCTGCTCGGTGCTGGTCCCTGTGCCCGTGCGGTGCCTAGTGGGCAGGAGCTCCCCAGGACACAGAGCTCCGTCGTGCGGGAAGCTCCGGGCCCAGGGAGCGGGGCTGTGTCCGCAGCCTGCGCCGCGCGAGTGCGGGAGGAGCCGGGGCCGGGCTGGCGCCTGCCCTTCTGGGCAGCTCTGCAGCCCTTGGCCACGAGCAGCATCGCGGCTGGGTGCAGAGCGCGGGGCCGGGGCCGCAGGGAAGGTGCAGTGTGGGCCGTGTCGCACGGCGGGGACAGTGCTTTGGGAGGTTTGTGGAGACACGCGGGTCGGTGCAGCGCCGTGGGGACGAGAGGCAGGCGAGGAGCGGCGGCCATCCGCACGGGCTGGGCTGGGCAGAGCTGCTTGCAGGGAGCGCTGAGCTCAAC